TAGTTGTCCTAACACAATCATATTCTATATGGATAGTACTCAATGCCAGTGAACAATAAGACGAACTCATCAACTATTAGTTGTACCTAAAAAAGTGCTCTGTCACCTAGACTCTGCTACCTAAGTCATCCTGGAGAGCAAAGGGTTTAGTTTAATTCCACTGAAATCTTCGGGATTGAGTCCGAGTTTTGTTTCCACGGTATTGGCAGCAATACTTACCAAGCTTGCCAAAGAAAATCTACTAGCTTAAAGTTGAAGCACCTATGTGGATGTAAGAGCCATACCTAAAAACCTCACTGCCCACAACGTCCTACCGCGGAAATGGTTGAACCTCGGTGTATGTTTCTGTTTTAGCAGTAGATTTCAACAATACACCAACTTCGCTTCCCATCAAGTCCGAATTTCTCATACGAGGATAGCTATATGTACATAGTATGCAATTGTCTAGATTGTCTGTCGAGACCGTCACCGTTGCTTACCTACCCTTTTTCAACCGTTTAGGCACATTATGGAGTCTACTGACGGTGCAGCGAACTTCGAAGTTGCATTGCAGGGAACCTGTGCAGTAGCTTGAATCACACCACTCCCCTCAGTGAATTGAAAAAGGGTGGTCTGCTCACCAAAATGACTGGAGGGGCTGTTGATTTTGGTGTTATTTCAAGACATATTCTCTAAGCGCCAGATAATAAACATCTCAAGAACCATACTCTGACGAATTCTAGATGAATAGATGAATTGAATGGACCGAAGTGATGAAGATAAATGCGGTACAATACAAATAAATCTAGACTTGATTGGCTGAGACATTGCACAGCATTCCACGTTACCAACCACTACCCAAATTTGTAATTGGTCAGTCACCCTTGACCGGAGTCTTCGTCCGTAGTTAGTTGGCATTTGTAAAGATCGTCGTATACTACATATGTAGGTATGTAGACTTTTTTTTTCTTTCGATGTTGTAAAAGGATTCGTCCTCTGGGATCGAGGTCAAGAGGGGATACTAAAAGGTAGATCATCTTACGCAACGAGATAACGTTGGGGTCAAGTGTAAGGAAACCACATCCGGAGATAAGGGATTTGTTCACTTTCAGCCACAGATTGCCCATGTTGACAGATGGGAATTTTAAAATTCAGTCCACGTTCTTCCATCCAGCCACAGAATTTATTTGGACATCCCCGTAAACCCCACCTTGCTAGGCCGGCTACCTACTGTACCTACCTGTACTACGTACCTAATCTAACAAAATGCGGTGCTAAATGGAGGTCTAGTGGACCCTGGATTCTTAGAAGCACCAAGGGTCCTTCGGTGATCGTTCCATCCAGATTTTCTATTTGCTCCACTCGAGGGTCGAACCACAATTCTAGACTTGGGCACACACATCCACATCAAACCTTGGAGGGGTGTGTCGGACCTGTACACCTTTTTTTTTTGTCTTGTTATTATTATTTGTTAAAGGTTCTTGTTAGTTTGCAAAAGATTCCTCAAGAGATTTTTTTTAAGTCCCGGTTTCTAGACCCTAGCCTGACGTTGATTTCCCAATAGACAAACTACCTAAGGTATCTCATCGATCGGCATAAAACGACTTGGACTAGCTGCCCCTCTGAGGAGTTCTCGATCGCAACCGAGTAACGGGGACCCGGGAACTATACCCAGAACGAAGACGCGCACCGTCGATCAGAGAGATTTTGTTGACAACCGTTGTCCAAAATCAAGATTCAAGATTCCAGGTTCGATTCAAAGCATCATAACCTTTGAATATCTTGTTCTCGCCCGCGCTGATCCCCCGTTACCGTGGTCGGCTCCTACCCTCCCAAGGAATCGCCAGGATCCGAAAAGCGACAAGAATCTACCGGACAGACTAAGCATGACGTGCCCCTGATCAGAAGTGCGGACCAAACCCCCCCACACACCGTTACTCTGTCCCCCTTACCGTATCCATATCGATTCCTACCTATAAAGAGCACCGAGGGTGCCTCGAGTGATGGACGAGTCCGAGGAAGAGGTCGATACTCGGGTCGAGGCGCTTCTACGCCAACGTCAATCATTGACCGAGGAAATACTGAAAAGTCCATACGACCTCGTTCTTTATATAAAGCGCGCATTGGTATATTCCGACCTAGCCTATCCCGACTTGGCGGCTGGTGATTCTTACCGCGCACTATTATTGACCGACGAGGTTCGCGATGAGAGCTTCGAATATCATCAACAGGCCCTTAGCGCGTTGACAGATAACGCGCACGGTCCGTTGTTGGATATCCTGGACTATGGTTCTCTATCGGGAAGTCAGTCTCGTTTGCCTGGATTAGACAGCGGTGCAAAAGATGTTTCCGCCCTTGCTTCCCTTGCATCCATTCGATGCTATCAGATCTTGTCGTTGAGTCTTCTCCTATGCGGTTGTCTAAAGAGCGCTTCCAAGTTTTGTGAGCGCGGGCTCGTTTCTTCGCCCGAGAATCAGGAGCTTCTAAACACGCGGCGCTACATTCTGACAGTGGCCGAGCGTAGAACGCGCAGACCCATTTCCAACGTAAACGATCTCCCAGACTGGGGTATGGTACGCAGGGAAGTCTACCCTTGGAACAGTTACGAGCCAGATCGGTTTTCCCATCAGTCCTTGGCTTTTCTCAACGGTGAATTAGAAAAGATAGCCCCCAAATGCACTATCCAAGTCGCAGAGTTGCCTGTATTGCTCGGATGTCCGAGTCGCACCGATGGCTACGACATAATCCCGACCTGCAGCCAACTCGGCGTATTTGCCAAGGAAGATATCGCACCGGGAGAAGACGTCCTTGTCGAATACTCGTTGGTTACGGCCAACAACCGTCTAAAGGAGTCGGTTTGTGATGCTTGCAGTGGCGAGCTCCCCCCTTTAGGGAGCGAGTCGACCGCTGTCAATTGTCCGGATTGCTATGACACTGTTTTTTGCGACCAATACTGCTTTGAACAGGCCCAAGAACTCTACCATCCAGCTGTCTGCGATAAAGACGTCGATTCCATCGCCAAGGATCCCGATGCAAAAGAAGCTGGCGAGTCCCTTCATCTCTTATTGCTTGCGCGCGTTCTAGCTATGGCGGCTCATAAAGAAATTCATCCGCTTGATGTCAACCAAGTCAAATATATTTGGGGTGACTTCGTTTCCTCCAAAACCAATGAAATTAGTTTATCGCCCAAGGCCGGACCACCTCCTGATTGGACTCTTCCCTTCTCCTTTACTTATAATATCGAGACTCCGCTCCACATCCTCGAGAAGATGGATATCGATATATACGCCACCCTTGCCTATCACGACGTATGGGTCTTCAATACACTCTACAGCAAATTCCGTGGCACCGCATCGGCACGCCAGAACCCAAGAGATGGACGGCCTGACGTCGCTGCTGTGCATCCTTTCTGGTGCCTTGCCAACCACGACTGCGACCCGAACGTCACCTGGGAGTGGGGTGGTCGAATGGTACTGAAAGCGGTCGAGAAGAGATTTGCCAAGGATGCGCCAGGAGGCATCAAAGCCGGAGAGGAGGTCCTCAACCACTATTGCGACGTGGAGCTCCCCGTCCACAAACGCAGGGAGTGGGCACGCGGCAGCCTTGGTGGCTGGTGCATGTGTCACAGATGTCGTGAGGAAGCCTCTGCCTCTGATAATGACTCCCCCGGAGATTAATTGTGCAAAGGAAACCCTACCGATTAACTCCAGCCAAAGATTCAAGCATCACACACATCCCCATCCAAAGCATTACGGCGATGAGTCTGGTTCTTTCATGATTATACACGTGTCATGACTGCCGACTCGGCAATTCTCGCCATCTCGCTTCGAAGTGTCCTGTTATACGTACACGAATACTTCCGGCAACTCCTACCCAGAGAACCTGATAATCAACATCTGGGAAGATATAAGGGGGCAACCCAAATCAGGTTAACCCAATTCGCCTATGATCGTGTTCTGACTTGTTGATAAATGAACATTGAAGAGCGAACTAGGCGCCTAGCCTACGCCCACTTATTGAACCTATCTAATAGCACGGCACTTCGGACGCGGGAAGCGAGAATCCGCCACAAATCCGCCTTCTCTTTCGCAAAACCTCTGCTCTTTCTTCCGATTTTATTTGCTCATCATTTCCTTCCGCACACGAATTGTATCTGAGAGTATCTGAAACACAACCACAACCCCCTCCTCCCCCCTTGGATCGTCTCCCCCCCCCCGTCCCAGCTCACGAGAGATTAGAGAAAGGGCCTATATCGAGCACAGCAAACGAAGGATTATTATCTAGGCGTGGAATGTTTTTTCTGTTTTTTCTTCTCTCTCGAAGAGGACTTACGCAACATTTAGTCGTCATCGTCGTTGTCGTCGTCGTCATTTACGCTAGCTATTTTTTTTAAATACAGTAAACGCATGACACCAAAGAATAAAAAATAGAAATAATATGAGGATATATGGTGGGATGTACACAGTCTTGATTCATTGATTACGTGAATTGTGTATGTGTAATGTCTTGAGATGTGCTGATGCTGAGGGTATGCTAACATGTTGATGGACTGGCAAACCTAGCTTCTGGCTAGGGGTATTTGAATCGGACGAATATATAATGCAGACTGGATACTATCTTGCTGAAACTCCTATAGGCTAGTAAATTGCCTACGTAACTGAGGAATAATTTCCTATAATAATAGTAATAGCTCCACATACGACACTGCACTTTATGTAACTGTCACGATGTCAGGGAGACAATATCATCAATACCTGCTCACCATGAGACTTATTGAGATGGGCTAGTACTAAGCACGAAGAGGCAATTTAAAACTATGCTAAATGTTGAAGTTGCTTATTGTATAAAGGGGGAGAGGAAGGAATTGGGAGAATGTGTACATGGTTTTGTGTTAGAGAACGATGTGGCAAGATAGAAAAGGGGTGGAAGGAAAAATAGATACAACAAGAAATATATTAGAAAATGGAGAAAATCACCCCATTCGAACGGTCGACCTCCAGCTTGAAAAAAAAAAATTTTTATGTACCCACTGGGATTTGAACCCAGGTCTTTCCAGAGCTATCCAAGTCGACCACAATGGAATGAGCTAACGACTGCTCTATAGGTACCGCCATCGTCGCCTTCTTGCATGATGCAGTCGCTATTAGGCCTTTTAACGGATCTAATCGGATTTTATGTTGTGCTGGGAAGGAAGGCGCGGGCGTGGAGGTGTCGAGGTCGTGAATGCGCATGCGAGGAAGGAGACTAGACCTGTCTGGGACGACAATGAATGTTGCGCAGAGCCTACACCTATATACCTGGGTACCCTCTACATACGTGTACGTCCTTGGATATTCTACTTCAACTCGAATGAAAGCACACCCTATCGCGCGTCTCTGGCCTTGCGTCTTTTCATGTATGGATTATTTTACTTATATTTTCTGACTACCCAAGTCCAATACTATGTGAATGAGCTCTGTACTAGGAGACACAATACAACATATGCTAAGATATTGCAGCCCAGCTAGACAATACCACGGTGGAAAGAATACCAGATAGCCCATCGTCCTACGGCAGCTTTATTTGGCGGCGGGATATACTAAGGGCATAGGGGCAGACAGCGAAGAAGAAAAGAAGTGTTACTTACAGTACTGTATATAAGTATGTGGCCACGATATATCTCCTATTACTAGTGACTTATGACTACCCCTAAGCTTTTGACTACCAAGACAGTAAGCGGTAAGATGATGGATTACGTCAAATAACCTTTCAACTCCATTCACTCCGATAGCATGGCAACATTCGTAACCAAGGTAGTCAGAGTAATTGCATATACATAACTATTGTTAAGCGAAAGTGTATATCTCCACCTCGGAGAAGTGAACTGCTACCGTTACCGAATAAAAGCCTCCAACTGCCTCCCTAAAACCCGACGGTATCATCCCGAATGTCCGCTATCCAAAAAGAGAGCAACAGGGGATCAGATGAAAATAAGTGAGGAAAAAAGAAAGACAAAGGAATTTTTTTCTGGACCACCCCCGACCAACACCGTTCATTCATTCTCAACGTCGTTCATTCGTCGTACGTTCATCTCCCTATGTACAACTTGTAGAGCATAATCACAATAAGCTTAAGCCTCTTATAAACCTCCTTTAACCTCATGTACTTCGTCCCATCAAATCTCATCTCGCCTCTCTATTTACTTCTTGCCATTCTATTGTAGAGGCAGAGTAGGGTACGCTGGCTGGGATGGCGGGCGACTCGGAGACTCGACCTCGGTACCGTTGGAAGAGGTCGGGGTACTCGGATCCTCGACGTAGTCCTTGCGCCTAATACGATCTACAACGTACTCACGGAGGTACTCGATGACGCGGATGTTCTCGAGCCACGTCTCATACTGTTGATCTTCGCGGGCCTCGACGCTTGCCTCGGACTCGGCCGACGGCGAGCTCACCGTCGAGATGGCCGACTCCTTAGGCGTTGTTGCTGAAGTCTCGTCATCACGAGGTCGCACGGCGATGGCAGAGGGAGCGCTGCGCTGGAGTACACCACTGGAGTAACGACGATTCGGGTTATGAGGATCGAAAGTAGGACCTAGCGTGGACGTCGCAGACTGGCCAGGGTAGCCTGAGGTGACTGCTGGTAGAGTCGGGTACAGCGTCGATGTCGAGCTATGACGTGTTGAGGGCGATAGACCGGAGGTAGAGGCACTGGGTGAGTGGCCAGACGTGTAAGACATGGAGCTGGAAGGAGGTGTCACAGCGGGAGTGCCGTTAGAGTGTGTCGAAGAAACCGCAGTCAAGGGCGAGGCCATGTGAGCGGCCGAGTAGGCATTATTAGCCATAGCAGACGGGTGAGGGGCGGCAGAGTGCGGAGGAGACTGGCTATGCCGGAAGCTCAAGGGAAGGTAGTGGGCGCCAGGTTGGTGGACCCCGGCGGCGGCGGCAGTGTTGGAGTTCTCATACACCGTACTCTGCATTTGCTCGAGGATTTGGTCGATCTGACAAAGATCATTTTTAGTTCGAACATTCGGCATTGGCGGCAACGCATAATGCTGTTGGTACGGACCGTGGTCGGCACCACCGTCAACCGTCATGACGGCGGGACCCGGGAGATATTCTCCGAGAGAGCCAGAGTGGATAGGGAGAACGCCGTGTAGAGGCAAGAGTCTCTGGCCAACGTGGGTATACGAGGTAGGGTTTACCTGACGACGCTTAGCATCGCCAAAGAATTCGTTAAGCGCCTCAAATTGGCGTTTGCGATCATATTCAGCCGCCTGGTAGCCCATGTGGTCACCTCGTCCGCCCATCTGCGAATAATACACGGGTGCGCCGAACTGGTTCTGCGCATGGTGGTGCGGATAGTAACTACTGGGATGGCCACCTGGGTGCTGGGGCTGACCGAAAGCAGCCTGGTTAGTCCGCATCTGACCGTTATGATCATAATAGCTAGAGGGAGCTTATACGAGGCAAATTAGCCTCCCGTTCCGGAACTTGCACGTGGAAATACAAATGAAATAAAATGAAATAAAATATAAAAACACACCTTTGCCTTGAGTTCGGTAGGCGCCGTTCATGTGTCCATGCTGATCCGGAGCTCGGACCAAGACCGAATCGTCGGCATGGGTCTAAATCATTTTCAGTTAATATCATATGAGATCTAATTTATTAGAGCTAAAAAAAAAAAAAGGGGGGCAAAGCACACCTTGACATGCTTCTTGAGGTCCTGAGGACGCTTGAAAGATTTGCCGCAAAAATCACATTTATGCGGTTTCAGAGGCACATGAACACGAATGTGCGAAGTAATATGGTCGCGTTTGACCGTAGTAGTCTTGCAGTTATTCCATTGGCAGGTGAGGTTTAGATTATTAGTGCTCTTGCGCCCGACGTGCTTTTCGCATATATGCTCCTAGGTATGGCTGTCAGATCCAAGATGCAAGAAATGCCAAAAGCAGCGAATGTTGTAGTCGGGCTAGACTTGGACGTAACAATCCCCAAATGGGAGAATACTTACGTAGAGTGTTTCGGCAGCGTTAAACTTTTCGTTACAATTAAGCCAGCGGCATTGTAGGGAGTCATCTTGAGCCGGTGCACTAGACTGCGAAGTGGCCGTTGTTGCGGTCGAGGGCGCCGGCGTCGTGCCGTTAGAGGCGGAGCTCTCGCCCGACTGTAACGGGTTGCTCTCGGGGGCTGCTGACATGGTTTAACCTCGGCACTTCTTCACTTCATACGATCAATTGATAAGGCGTGCCACGTGATAGTAGCGATAAGGCGAGAGAACTTGGATTTGGGCTTATCCTTGATCTGTGTGTGGTCCGTGGATGGTATGTCAAGGGTCCCAAGGGTCTAGGCTGGTCCGCAATGGAATAACCAATGCCAAGTAATGTTTGGTCAGTACTAATGTTTGATGTAGCGTAACTCCTACGGAATGGAATTAAGGAATGATGGTGCGGTAAGGCTTGGTATTCTCAACGAGTAAGTGAGGGAGTTGAATATTTTAATGAACAGAAAGAGAAAGAGCTGGGCAGTATAAGGATTGCGAGGAAAGTCACACGTTATGTATGCGTAAATACCGAGCAACGCTTGCTCCTGTCTTTTGCCTTTTGGCGATACAGCGGAGGTCTTGGCATGAGAATTCCATGTAGCAGTTAGTCTCTAACCATTGGTTGCTGAGAAGTGGGGCAAATGACCTATGTATCCCCCATCGAGAGTGACTCGGGCCAACGCGCGCATGGACCGTAAAACCTAAGTCACCCCTCCTTAGGCGCAACTTCGATGCCAAGATGCCAAGAAAAGTGCCAAGAGACACTAGTTCTTGGCACTTGCTGATTGTCTCGACATGTCTGCTCAGAAAATGGCTTATGGTTGCTTCCGAAAACCTTGGCCGCCGCACTGCGCCCACCTCCTTTCGTTTTCGCGCGGACTGGTTTCTTTGCCTTTCAAGTCAATGACCATTGCCTTATTACGTTACATGGTACGCTATTATGCAACTCCCTAATACAATCACAGATAAAGTTGTTAGCTGTACCTTATTGAAACACGGCGACGTCCTCCGTAGTAATCAATCCACGCGTGACTCGATCTTGATTTGTACATTGTAGGTGTCACAAGCTTTGAAGTCGCCCTGTCCTCTACCCCTTCTACCTCTTCGCATGGTTCTCCTTTCAAGCTTCACGCCATTGTTGGAATTCTATCCCATGTGGCTAGCTCTAACGTTCCCAAAAGCCAGGTGGCCAGAAGAAGCTTCTTCTAAAAAAAGACGATAACATAGCACCCAATATCGTTTCCCCATTGTTACTCATCTAAACCAAATCTGCTGCAGCGGAGGGAAGTCTTGGTATTCTTGGTCAAATAAACGTCTGTTCCCTCGAGGAAAGGTGGTTAACTTTCCGCCAAATAGCCAAGCGCTCCGCCCGCCAAGTTCTTGGCCATGCACTCTAACTACGTCTCTTATATCGGCAACGAGAGTACGGAGTACGGACAAAAACACCTACTTATGGACCAATCCACATAGGATCTCGTGGTCTCTGTTGCACTGCCACTCTCCCTGACTATCCGAATCAAGGCACGTTAATCAACGAAAAGAGCCGGAAGCTGGATTTGTGCCTTGCCGCCTTTGGCATTCGCACTCAAGGATCTGTCATTCGACTCAGGGGGTTTGTTATCCTTCATTCGGTGAAGGGCTCGCTAAATTACTCTATCCCTACCTTGGGCATTCGGTCTACAGACCACACGGCCTTGGTTTGTCGTAGCCGACACGTAACCTACGCACCTACCTAGGTATTCACTTGCGCCGTAATCTGAGTCAGCTGGACTTTATATATCGCTGCCTTTACAAGTCGGGCGCCGAATTTCTAGTACACTCCTACTAACAATTATTACCTATTTTTTTTTGTCCCGACCGGCCGTCACGCCATTTGACACCTTCTAACACCTTACTAATCTCATGATTGCTCAACGTCTGAACACGCCTAGCAGCATAAGCTCACAAGCTAAATATCAAACATCCGTAACTGTCATTATCCTTTTGTTCTCTTCTGTTCTCGGAAGGTTCGGGTAGGCTAAAATTCTAGAATAGGGGGAACTTTTCTAATATCCGCGACCCAACACTGCTTTAGAATAGGATGTAG